ATATCTCAGCCAATGGACTAGCTTTTCCAAAAACTAATACACCTTCAACTTCAGTAACGACTTTTACTGTGAAACTATATTCTGTGTTATAGTTCATCTGTGACCACGATATGTTCATTTCTGTTCCCATTGTAATATTTAGAACAACTAAATCGCTGACATCATTAGTTGGCCAATATTCAAGTTGGTAACTATCGACAGTACCACGGCCATAATCATTGTCCAGACTCCAAGATGACCAACGGATGTTGACATTATTTGCAAATGCTACGACCAGGGGAGCATCACTCAGTGCCGGGAGAACTATATTCAGAAGATATTTAAAAAATACATAGACTTATGTAAATAATAGGGGAAAATCAAACAGGAATTGTTCCTGACAAGTGTCACTACCAATGCTAGTGTCATTTCAATAAACGGCTTAAAAAAATGATTGACTTCTTTGACTTTCTTACGTTGTTGGCAGCCTGCCCCAGCCCATCCTTCTTCACAAACATCACCATTAGGGCAACTTCCATTATTTCGATCACACTTCGACGAGATCTGACAATGACATATTTTGGTGCATTGTGGGCCATAATATCCAGCAGGGCATTCAACGTTTGGATCCCTTTCTGGCATAAAGATAAAGCATAATATAAGGATATATTCATTCTATTCCTTACAGCAAAACAAACTAAAAAAGACAAAATGAAACAGAAAATCTTAACTAGTACATAGGCTACTAATCCCTAAGCAACCAATGAAATTTGCCACCCAAAATCAACAAGTATTCTTCCGTCTCGTTGATTATCACAATTATGACACAGAATTTAAGTTAAAGTTCAAGTTTATTGTCAACAAAGTGAATGAAATCTGTTTTCTAAGGTTCACAATTAAAACAGTGGCATACTAAAATACTATAACAATGGATACGATATAATAAATGTTAGGCTCATACGTAAAATGATGTAAAGCAGTATAAATATAAAAACAGATATAACATTGCAAAATTAATTGCACTGTGATCGAATAGAGATATAAAAATACAGTATTATTACTAGAATAAAATACAAAATGTCTCAAGTTTTCTTTTCAATTGCTTATTGTATTAAATGATTGCACACAAAAGAAATGATTTGTTATGACGCTCATTCTTTTGAATTGATGAAATAATTCTTCTGGATTTACTGAAATTAATATGGTTAAACAGACGATGGGACTTGTCACATTAATTTTTATCTCTATAGTCTTATCACATAATATGTCCTAAATAAACGGAACGTCGTATTAAAGACTAGTGAAATTGGAAGAATGCTTCTTTACCAATCCTAAATTTCCTTAATTTTTTTAAAAAGTACAATCGTTGGTTTCCAAAAAAATCTCGGTGTTGCCATTCCATGACAGTGTTTCGTATATCCATACACCTAAGTATTTATGTTCAAATAACTTACTTAGCCCAATAATAATAATAATAATAGTAATAATAATAATAATAATAATAATCTGTGTAGTAGCAAACAGCAAATACATCTTAAGAATACCACAATAATTTTCAACCGTAATACCATAGGCAAGGTTATATGAATTTTATTATAAAACTCAGTACGAAACAGACATGTTTCGGCAAATCCTTCGCCATCTTCAGTGTAACGATTGCTAACATGCAATCTACTATATAAAGGGAGTGAACAACTGTGAAGCATTGTATTTTAAATAAATGGGAATTGAACCATAGCTATTTGAGCAGACATCATGACATTGCATTTTTAATGTAACGATTTGACTGTAAAGAAGAAAGAATGGCATGAATAAAGATGGTAGCGTAGTGATGAACATCAGAATGACAAAGTTAAATTAACATGTGAAAGTTACTTTTTGAGAGAGGGCGTGTCCCATTTTATATGCAACGCCTCTTTGATTTTTCTTTGGTTGGCTGTTGAGGTGGAACTCAATACACGGAAACAATCCTCGTTGCATGATGTTTTAAATTGGGATGAGCTATTAAGATGTTTAAAATGTGCGAGTTCCTGTCCGTGGTCATGTGTTCGTTAACGGGCGTTGCAAAGTGTCGGCCAGTTTCGCCTATATAACAGGCATCCTGCGCACGTGAATTTATACACAACGTTAGAACGTAGACCACTAGGGACAGGATCTTTCACAGAAAACATATTTCTAATTTTAAAAGAAGAAAAAACTAATTTAATATTTAAATCATTACAAAACTGTTTCGTTAATGCATTTATCTTATGTGAAATAACTTTGGAAAATTGACCAGTGTATGGCAACTTAAAATAACGGATATTCGATTTTTCGTTCGATTGTTTGTTATCAGAGTGAATAAGGACAAGATATCTGGAAACAATTTTGTCAATTAAATGCATTGGAAACATATTTTTTCTAAAGATAATAATTAACGCCTTGAGGTCACTATGAAAACCTAGCCAATTATTGTTGATCTTATAAGTTCTGCCAACTAAAGTACGAATCAAAGAAATTTTGTATGGTAAAGGGCAAAAACTAAAGAAATTTGTGAGTAATCCTGTGAAAATGTTTTTTCGATATACATTGGTTTGGGTGGATCCATTATCAGATTTTAAAAATAGGACATCAAGGAAGGGAAGTTTGTTTTCCACTTCAGTTTCTATAGCTTTAAGTTTTAATTTTAAGTTGTTATGGCGTGAGTTTAAATATTGAAAAAATGAATTGGCCTCAGTTTCTGAATTAAATAGGCGAAAAATATCGTCAACGTACTGTTGACAGAATAGCACATTAGGTCCATGATATTGATCAAGCCAGATCTTTTCATGGTGCCCCGTGAATAGGTTTGGAAGTACTGGGGCTAGAGGGGACCCCATTGATACCCCATCCACTTGATCATAATATGAACCATTAAACAAAAAATGAGTTTGAGGGGTTGCGAACATGAACAACTTTTTAAGACCAGATTTAGTTATGTTTAAAGTATTATGTGGGTGTTCCAAAATGTAGTCTACCGCAAGGTCTATTGATTCATTAAGTGGAATGTTCGTAAATAAACTTTCAACATCAAAGGAAAACATAAACTTATCACAAACATAATAATAATAATAATAATTATTATTATTATTATTATTATTAGTAGTAGTAGTAGTAGTAGTATAAAAATTATAATGATAACGATAATGGTGACAGTAAATATAGCTGTATTATATTTTCGCAGTATACTGAATACAGATAAATTTTGATAGTAGACATAACTTTTATTTTTTTGTAAGTTTATTATTAAGCTGTTGATAAGGTTCTTGTGTTTATTTTGATACTAAATGTGTGGTATGTCTATACTTTATAGTATATAATTTCGTGAAACTCATTATAATTACTTATTTGCTTGTTTAGTATTTTACTACAAACAAAATGTGCAGCAATTCTACTTTTTTTTTATCAAGTGTACTTTTTGTTGATTTTGAATAAGACATACTATGAGAATAAATGAATAACATACAAACAAATCATTTAAATTGAGACAATCTGAGTAAAATCAGCATATTATGATGATACTGTGATTCTCGTGAGCTTTGTTGTTGCTATTAATTTAGGTGTGTTGTTGCTGCTTTTGTATTTGATGTTTTGCTGTTAATAATATTATTTATGTCCATGGATCGGTCGCAATTTAAGAACAATGCTTGCAATGCAAACGAGCAGACATTTAAAAAGAAGGCAATACACCATATAGAATACAAAAAAGGTTATTATAAAAATGTAATGCAGAAGTAAATTAGTGTCACATACAAACATTATTCATTGTGAAATTATACATCCTAACAAAATGCGAACGTAATAAGCTACAAGCTACATAGCTTTTAAACTCTAGAATAAAATAAAACCTGGGTAGAAAATCAGAATTTCCAAATGTGGGATAGTCACAAATATTAATCTATATATAATAAACGTTGCAACAAGGTTAGTGTCAAGAATTAAAGTGATCATGTGCTAGCCACGATGATGCTGCACATCATGCGCTAAACCGGTAGACCGGAGTTATATTTAAATGAGCCGTCCGGGGACATAAAGATATTCTTTTTAGCAGAAGCGCTGAAAAATGTTTTTTTTTTATTTGTTTTTTTTTAAATTATGTAATATTACCCTCGCCTTTCCGACGGAGAAGTGAAAGGTAGTACTATAGCGCGCGCCTGTGTGTTGTTGGGCTGTTTGCATGTCAGGGTGTTTTCCAGGGCGATTGATTGTATAAGATGAAATCAAATAATTGAAAGTTCCTTTAATCAGCTTTGCATACATACTCTTAGTCATTATCAGGATTAACATTTTGATTCATGTTTTTTTTTAATAGCGTATTTACAAACCTAGACAACGGGCGCCAGTATAACCAGTATGACAAGTGACGTGTGTGTTGCAACCCTTTGAAGGCTGACATTCAGTAACGTTACAGTGACAATCAAGAAGGCATCCGGGTCCATACTTGCCTGTTGTTCCAGTTTCACATTCTAATTTACATGAATGAGAATTATGTGCTAAGCAAATCTGTATACCTAAGTACATACTATGGTTTTTGTTTTTTTAAATAAAAATGGATATATATTGGTCTTCTATAAACATTAATCCAAATGTTTCTGCATTTTTTTTCTATTGGAATACCGAAATGTACATAATATTTATTTATAAACATTTTGACAAAATTGAAATGTGCATAAACAAGAAAAGATACGATAAGATAAGATAAACTTTATTGTCCATCAAATATGTGAAAATTCATGGTCCATTTGGGGTAAAAATACAAAACCATCAGTTAAATTACATCACGATTTTAATTGCTCCAAATTGCTTTAAATACAAATCTCAAATAAATGCTGCTGAATTTTACCTCTTTTACAATCAAGGTCACCATAACCGGACATACACGAACAACCGACAGGGTCTGGAGGACAAAACAGAATTCCTGGACAACCTGGATTTGTATTGCTGCATACGATATTGCAATCGCGTCCCCAATTATTATGGCCACACGCTATAAAAAGAATAAACAGCAATAAAATTTAAATTAATTTAATTCTATTATTTTTATGAAAAATATACAAACCTAACCTATATAAGCCATTAAAATGTAATTTTAATTAATATTATACGATCTGTCACTGGAACTGTTTTGTGAATAAACGGCCGAATAGTTCCCACTAATATAATGCTCTTGTCTGGTTTACTTTATTAGTCATAAAAAATTCAACAAGCCGAAGTCTAACATAATATCATTTAAATATGAATACAGTTTATATACCGGGTAGGAAACAAAATTTAATATTCAAATTCGATCAGAGAAGAACACTTAAAATATCTGTTGATGATAGTAAGAACACATCTTTGTTTATTTTTGAAGAGATTTAATGTATAGAGTTGGGTTAGATTATGCATCTTATATTGATGTTAATATTGTTTTCATTTTCGGCTATTTTGTACCCAAAAAAAATATAAGAATGAATACTAAATATTGATCAATAAAAATAAAAATATTGACATGCAACGCATATGAAAAAGAGAACTTTAAAAGTAATAATAGATTAACGAATAATTAATAGACACCTCAATAAACAACATTACGCCTACCGTTTTCACAGTTATTTCCATTGAAGCCCGGGGGACAGATGCATAATCCATATGAAACAGAACACACGCCCCCATTATAGCATACAGGGCAATTGTTCTCACAAACCGGAGGCAGCCACTTTCCATGAGGGCACTCTATCAAAATAGGTAGGCAATGAGATGGTAAGCAGACCGTATGTTCCCAACAAAATATATGTAGATTTTGATACGATAAAAATCATACAGAGTTGAAGTATTATAGAAACATAATTTTATTAGGCACGAATATTTTTTCCTGTCCT